TCTCATCTTGTGCCTGTGTCTCAGGCAGTTTGAGTTGCAGCAGTGTTGACCTGAAAAGAATGGAACAGGGTTGAGCAGTCCAGGATTCTGGACCATCTCATCAGCCTCTACCAGTCTATGGTATTGTATTTGGAAATCCAAGCCTATAGTCAGCCCTGTTGAGAAGGGCTCAGTTCATAGAATCATAGAATCATGGAATCCTAGGTTGGAAGGGACCTCAAGGATCATCTAGTCCAACCTTTCTAGGCAAAAGCACAGTCCACAAGATGGCCCAGCACCCTGTCCAGCTGAGTCTTAAGAGTGTCCAATGTGGTAGAGTCAACCACTTCCCTGGGGAGATTATTCCAGTGGTTGACTGTTCTCATTGTGAAAAATTTCCCTCTCATGTCCAGTCGGAATCTCCCCAAGAGCAACTTGTGTCCATTCCCCCTTGTCCTCTCCATGTGACTCCGTGTGAAAAGGGAGTCTCCATGTTCTTTGTAGCTACCCCTTAGGTACTGGTACGTGGTGATGAGATCCCTTCTAAGCCTCCTTTTCTCTAGGCTGAACAAACCCAGATTGTATATTTCATGTTGTTTTTCCTTGTAAGTAAGTACCAGGAGGCTGAAAATGCTGCATCTCTCCCCAGCTTTAAAAAAAAAAAGTAAGGAAAAGTCTTCCCTGCAGATATAGTGATTGAAATTCATGAGCACTGATGGCATCCCCTGAGGAACAAGAGCTCTCCCTCATGTGGAGGCAGACAGTAGCACAGAATGGGATCTGGAGAGTTAATTGTCCAATTGGAAAACCAGAATAGGCTCAGAAGAGGCAGTACTTGGGAAAACACATGTGCAAATTTCCCAAGTGCAAGCGCGTCATGCTATGGTTGGGGCATCCCTAATGGATGGCCTTAGAGAAGAGTTGTGTTGTGTGGTCAATGAAGAGCTGTGTTTTCTTTGTCTGCTTTGAATTTTATAACGAGGATATGGAAGATGATGCCTAGCAATTCCTGATCTAACACTAACCGTAACTAAACATAAAGGCTTTTCTGGCTTTGGATTATTTCTGCTATCTGTGCTTTCTACTACAATATACATTGAACATTTGGGCGAGATGTTAGAGCCTACAGTTCTGCTGAGATCAATCTGGCCAGAAATCTCTCCAATCCTGCAGTGGACAGGTTTTGTTTTTTCACTCCTGGTGACAAGTTACAGACAAATTAAAGAGAGCAAAGTGAGCCGAAGGTGCAGAGCACAGGACTCCAGCCACCCACTCACCTTCCTGATTCCCAGCATGTTTCAAAAAACTGAGCAACTTCAGAAGTGGCCCTGAGTATGCTGACAGCAAAAGTCTTCTTGCAAACCACTGGCTGTGCCATAAACCTTCCCCAAACAGATGTTGTTGCATTTTGTGCAGTATTAACTGCTGCCCTGTACATCCAACGCAGAGGCACGTGCCTCTTTGTGCTCTTTGGGGTTATCACACAGCGGCAGAGACCCGGAGCCTGCTGGGTAAGGGGCAGGTGAGGGGGAGATGCAGGATTTGGCACCTGCTCAGCTGCTGCCAAGCAGTGAAATGAGGGTGAAGGAAAATCAGGATGTATTTTTGTTCCATTCTCCCCTTGGTAGATCTGAATAATTTCCATGTAAATTGATGAGAGGATACTTGGGAGCGCTTTGGGAAATGCTCTTGGCTTTTTAAACTTGAGAATGGGCTCAGGACGGCCCTGAAAATCCCCATGAAAGACACAGGAATGCAATAAAGCCAAAGGGGAACCAAAGCAAGCAGATTTCAGCTGAAGAATTTTGTAAAGGTCTGGTTTTTCAGGGGAAAACCGGTCAATATTACAGTGGAGGAATGTAAAATAAGTGCTAGGCTGCAATCACAGCAGCTGATATTCTTTCCTGCATATCACTACCCCCTTCAATCAAGGCACGTTGCCAGTTAAAGGCTTGCTCGCCCATGACTGGGAAAAATGGGCACATGAAAAAACATATTCTTGCCCCTGCTCAGCAGCAAAGTTGTTGAGACTTCCTACGTGTGCAATAAGAATAAGTGACCTGTTGGTTTCAGGGGCTGATAAAGTAATGAGGAGATTGTAAATATATAGGAAAGCTGTAGGAGCTTGATTCTGAGCTCCTCATTGTTAATCCAGAATCTGGATAATTGAAGGCTGACTATAGAGCTTCCGTATGCTTTCATATAGCTTGTGGTGAACTACTGAGTAGTTCTGTGAAAGTATATTACTCTTTATCTGTTAATCAAAAAATATTTTGCATGTGTTGTTAGAAGTGCCACTTGGCAGTGCACATTACAGGTTTGGATTTTTTTTCCTTCTGGCGAAATTTCTTCTGCCAATGAGCTATGAGATTATATAAAAATGTAAGGAGCAGACCCTGGGTTTCTGACACGTACACTACACATTCATCTTTCCTAAGGAACTGTGGATGGAATCAGCACTGTGCTGCTCCACCTTTGTGCAGGCTTTGTGTGTTTTGATGCATCTTTGCCACCATCCAGCCAGAGTAACACTGGATTTGTAGTTGGATGTTTCTTCAAGCCCCTGTTAGTAAAGGGTTGCAGCAGAAGCGAGAGCCGATTATGCAGTCCAGGAAACTGGGTGCAGTCACTTGGAGGCTGTCAGAGAAAAATAGGATTGTAGATATGTGATTTTAATTTTTTTAAAAAAAATTATATTCCTATTTTTAGGGTACTTCCAAAATAACATTCAGATATTTTATTCCAAAGAAAAGTCTTGTCCAGCAGGGGGTTAAGTGCATTTTGCAGACAGAGAACATAACACATTTACAGTATTTTATGCATTAATGAAACTTATGTCATTTTTTTAAACATCGTTAATTTTGATAACGTTTGAATGAAAAACTGAGCGAGGCGAAACAGCATGTATTATTTTGGGGGTTTTTCTTTCCACTTTCCTGTTTTCATCCTGCGAGAACTGAATGTGTTTATTTTACTGGCAGTATTAAGACAATCACATGATTTTGAGTAAGTCTTTTGAGATTGTTTGCAAGTTTTTGCTCTTCTGCATGTCTGCTTCCTCCCAGCTGGGGGCTGGCCGTTGTATGGAAAGGCCAGCCACGTCACGGAAAAGCCCTGTCTCTGATCAGATGGGCTTAATATAAACCAGGTTTGCTGAGAAAGAATTAAAGAGGCAGCCCCAAAGCAGGAGAGGATTTACTTCGGCCGAGCAGCTCAGCGTACTGCACCCGGCCGAGGGAGACGGGCAGCGCGAGCAAAGGACCCAGCTGCCTGCAGGACCCTGGCAGAAGTAAGGCAGCGCTGCTTTGGACGCAGCCTTCTACTGGCGATGCTAGGGACCCAGACAGCTAAACGCAGTGGGGGGGGATCAAATCCAGTTTGAACGTGGAACGCAGTGTGCGACAGGGACTCGTTTGGCGTTGTTTAATGAAGGATGATAATTTGTCAGGGGCGACATCGTGAAATGGTCATGTTTGTGACAGTTTAGTGCATGACTTTATTGCAAGTTGTGGGTTAGGCTCTGTTGTTTGACTGAATCGGAGCTGGCTTTTCTCATCTGGTCTTTTCAGCAAGGAAAAAATACATTTTAAAATTCAGCTGCAGTAAATACTTAATTTTGTTCGTGAAGCAGTCTTTGCTTGGTGTGTGATTCCTAGTCAGACGTATTGCTTGCTGCCAAAGTTACTGTGGCTAGGACTAGGCAAACGGTCTCGTTTTGCCACTCAGTACTGCACGTCACACAGAAAATACTGCGTATGCGGTAATAAGTTCAGGTAGAGCGCGCTGCTTCTGTGTATTCGCTCTATGTCCCGCTGTGCATTTCTTCTAAGAAGTTTTCAGGCAGTTTTGTGTGAAGAGGAATAGAGATTTGCATGTGTTGTTTTGATGCGCTTCTGTACTTTTTTCGTTCACCACCTATTACTCAGGTTTGAAAGTGGTCGGGTGCATTTTATGGACACTTACCCTGTTTACTAATATGGAGAAGAGGGCTGAGGAACATCAGATATATGACAGAAAGAAAATGTCTAAATAACTGTCACTTTGGGAAATGGAATGCATCAAAGTAACTTTCCTAAAAATGGTAGCTGTTGGCCCGTGAGAATGACATCACTGTCCTCTACCTCCAAGCAAGGCAAAATAGAGTTCGTTGAGTAAAATGTAATTAAAAGAGCCATGCTTAGATAAGAAGAGTGTACCCATCTAGCCAATTGTGCAGTAAATTAAGTTGTTATTTAATATCTGTAAATTCATGAGTTTTTCTCCCAGCGCTCCCTCCTGCAGCAGCTAGAATCTGTACCTCCTCAGAAAAGCTGTCGGACTTGACTGTGTCCTCCCTTTTACCAGCCAAAAAGCCACTGTCTGAGGCAGGGTCATTCTTTGTTTACTTGGCCATAGACAAAACCCAAACCCACCCCATTATAGCAAGACCTGCTTGCATGGCTCTTTTCTCATATTGGAATTGTCTAAGGGTGCAGGGAGTGATGCCTTATGGCTTTCCCAAAAGTTTCAGCTCTTAACTGAGACACTGTGGAAGATGCTGTTACACCCAGCTGCACTGGGAGTTGGCGGCAACTGGGACCATTTGCCCCCAGAGGATGGGCAGTGGTACCTGTAGGTGCCATAGGCTGCCTCTCAGCAAGGATGCAGCTCCCACGTAGGACAGCTCTGGCGAATGCTGCCCCTTTCTTCTCCTTCTGGGACACAGCAATGCCTCACTCTCCAGGACTGGGCTGCACCTAGCACAGCCGTGAGCTTGTAAAGGCTAAACAAAGACAGGATTTCACACGCAAGGGTGGTATCATCCCTAGGAAAAGCCTCTGGCACATTAACTAGAAATATTTTTTTTGTCTGCCAGCAACTACGAAAGAGTGCAGAAAGTCTCGTTTTTCTTTTGTTGCATACTAGAACCCTATAGAGGAGCAGGACATGCTGCTTTGAAGTTAATAAAAGGCTTCAATGCATTTCTAAATGTTCTGTGGGTAACGCTTGTGATTTCCCTATTTCTCACTAGGGATAAAAAAATGACCCTGAACAACGTTACCATGCGTCGCACCCACAACAGCAGCCTGCAGCAGCAGCAGCAGCGATGGAGCATCCCTGCTGATGGAAAGAATCTGCTGGTCCAGAAAGACTCCAACGAGTACAACCCACAGAAGCGATACACCATCAGTCCTGATGAATACTACAGAAGGAGCTGGTCCTCGGAGTCGTCTGACTCCGTCATCTCCTCTGAGTCTGGCAGCAATTGCTACCGGGTGGTGCTGATCGGGGAGCAGAGCGTTGGCAAGTCCTCACTAGCCAACATCTTTGCGGGGGTGCATGACAGCATCGACAGCGACTGTGAGGTGCTGGGAGGTAGGTCATTACGCCCTGGGGTGTTTGTGTTTGCTCGCAATCAGCCCTGCCAGTAGTAATTGGCACAGAAAAATCAGAGAAGCCATTTAATCAAAAATTGAGGTAACAAACATTTGGATCTGATCATCAAAAGTTGTGCAACACATGCATCTGTCTTAAGGAAACAAGAAAGCAAAATAAGATGAGTAAGATATTTACTAGCAGTGATCAAAAAACCTCTGAAAGAGAACAATTCAGATTCTCATGCTATTTCGTTTCAAAACACCTATTGGAAGCTGCCTCATCCCTGCCTGTGATGATGCTACACAGGAGGCTGGTTCAGCTGTCATGCTGATGCAACATTTGTGTCACCACTGGCTCCGTGGGGCTGACTCCAGCTTTCTATGGGGGGGAGAAAACCACTGAAGGTCCTTGTGGTCTACGAGAATGAAATGCTGAGAAATAATAAGCTGAGTCTTTCAATCATCTCCAAAATATTTGCCATTAAAAATCATCTCAGCCTTTCTGTATAAACACATTACCTCAGTGTAGGCTGTATGGAATTTCGGTAAAATATATCTCATTCATGCTACTCGCCCAGCATGGGTTCCCCCAAGGGAAAAACAGACAAAGGTCCTTCATCAGTGTAGGAAATTCCTATTGCCCAAATGGGGGGAAAAGGCACAAGCTGTAGGGCTTTCTTTGACACTTCCCCCTCGCTGCTGTCCCCTGCTTTAGTTAGGTTGTGAAATGTTCTTTAATCCCAAAGATCAGATCATGCAGAAGGTGAAGCTGTGGCACTGAGCCCTGAGCTACACCGTGCCTGAGATATTGGTGTGGAAGGGTTGTGCTGAAGCAGAAATCTGCTGTGGCTCTAAGGAGGCAGGCGCTGTCACTTTTGGAGGACGTGCGGCTTGCAGGCTGGTTTGGACTGTCAGTACTTTCCTCATCTCTCCCGTATCCCTTCCCTCTCCTGCCTGTACTCTCTTGGGGCCATGGTGCCAGAGCCAACACAGGGAGTTTCTTGGCTTCTCTTCCAGTCCTCACTGAAGCACAGACAGGACAGCTTCTTCTTTCTTTACCTCTCCGGTTAGGAGAGGTTTTACCCGGGATTTAATCCAGCCCAGCATCAGGCAGATGGGACCCACATTTTCCTCGCTTGCTCTCACAGACAGGGGGCACACACCTTTGTGCCTTTGGGGATTTGAAGTTCCCCACGGTGCAGTCACTCTGAATCTGTTATTCAGGTGTGCTTTGCCTTCAGCTTCTACCATTGGTCTTTCCTGTAATCCCACCAGCTCCTCAGCCTGGAGTATCTCTGACAAAGAGTTTCCTAGTGCTTAGAAAAGGACCCTTGGGCAAGCAGTCAGAAAAGGCAGCTGATTTGCTTTGCACACCCTTGTCAGATGGTTTCCTTCTCCTCCACGCGAAGCTGCATGGTTTCCTCTTCCCTTCGCACTCCCAGCAATATTGCTTGGAGTGTAGCCAAGGTCAGCTTTTCTGAAGTATCAGGAAACTTTCTATTGTTGCATTTCTCTCCTTTTTTTAGTGTCAGCTGCAAAATAAGCATGAGATGAACTAATTGCTCCCTTTCAGTGTCTAATTGCTCCCTTTCAGTATGTTTTATATCCTACAGAAGTCCCTTAGGATTGACCAAGGTGCAAATCAGTGCTGAATATGACCATTTGGGCATAATATTTTCAAGGCATGTGATTATGTATTTGTAGCCTCTCCACGCGTAACAGAGTGGAGAAGGATGTTGTCCTCGGGTGTATATGGAGCTTGTTCCCACGCAGATGCTCAATCAGTTGAAGAAACTATTCTCCAAACTTCAGCTTGCAAACTGGAAATATTATTACAAGAGGGGATGGTTTCAGGGTAGCCAACTCACAGAGGGAATACAGCTGCTTTTATGGACTGGCCCTGTAACATCAATCTAAGGAACACAAGTGTCCTGCTAGTGGGCCCGCAAGGGAAACTGCTCCTCTTGTTTAGCTCTGTGGTTTTAATATCTCCATTTCAAGCTGTGTCAAGCCTAGGCTCTTTCTGATTTGATTTAAAACGTGTAGTATTTTTGGCTCATTCTTTTGCATGGATGTAGATTCCTGGTTTCGAGGAAAGGCTTTGATTACAATTTAGGGGAAAGTTCACTCCATTAATGCCCAGCAGAGGTTTTACAAGGCACGGGTTAAGACACAGTCCTATCTACAAGTGTGGTTGGGACAGACCCCTTACCTGCTGCAGTGAGAGGGGTGGTTTGCTCAGAAGCCCAAAGCCTGGCATTTTTCACTGACCAGCAACGCAAGACTAGAGATGGGTCCAAGCCCCATATTGCTCACCCAAATGTCCTCAGGTTTGGTGGTAAGAGGGAAGATTAGTATTTGAAGCAGAAGCCAGACTGAGATTTCACAGCAAGGGTTGATCAAAATTATGAGTGAGAAGACCTGCCTCCCCCCCTGCCAGATCTAAGCAAATCTGATTTGTGCCTTTGTCACAAGGCATTTATAATCCAGGTCTGAATTTTTGTGGCCTCAGTACAAAATAACTAAACTTCTGTGGTTTGTTGATTCCTTTGCTTTTTGACATCAAAGGTCATGTGGGAAATGGTGAAATGGGAGAGAACTAGGAGGCAGCAGAAGTCTCAGCCTCTCTAAAACTCAGCAGCTCTTGTCTCACAACCCCCTGTCCTCATTGCTTGGTGGGCTGTTAGCTGTATTGCTCTCAGCGGCAGTGACTGTTCACCCGTAAACTGTCCCTGCTAAAGCAAAAGCAAATATTTTCCATTACTCAGCCTTGCTGGACTCTGCTGCTCCCATGGGGCAAATGTTCAGCCTTTGGTTATTTCTTCCACTGGTTCTATTTTCTCTCTCCCACATAAGATAAAGAGAATATCAGCCAAAATAATGAACATTTCGTTTCCTGATCTTTCAGCCTCCTTCATATATCATGGAAAGTAAGACAACCAGTATTGAACAGAGGGCAGGTTCAGTGATGATGGAAATGAGGAAAAGAACTGAATGTGAGCCAGCATAAAATTTGGCTCTATAACTTGAACCATGAACAAATTGTACATATTTAATGACTTGGGGTTTTTTTGTAACGTATATGATGCCTCAAAATAATATATTTCCAACATTTCTGCTTTTCTTTCCAGAAGACACGTATGAAAGAACCCTGATGGTGGATGGGGAAAGTGCAACCATTATACTGCTCGACATGTGGGATAATAAGGTAATTTTATTTGTTCTAGTCAAATGCCAAAAGAAAAGTGCCTATCCGTGAGTGCTAATATCAAAAGTAGGTATCTTTTGCACAAGAAAGTAGGTGTTTTCCGTACTTCAGCATCAGGGAAAATATAGGATTAACTCCACCCCTGCACCATGCCTAATGGCTCTGCAGTGTGAGCCTGAGAAGCACAAGCCTTCTTTATTTTCTTAATGATAAAACAAAACATTCAAGCCATTTTCCAGACCATGTTCATTCCAGTCTAAAGCCAGCACAATGAATTATTTGGGGCAAGTTTTGCCCTCCTTTGTGGTGAAGTACTCATACCATCACCGCATTGGAATTAATTTTAGTCTAACTGTGATTCAAACCGTACCCATTACAGTTACAGCAGGA